ATGGAACAAACATATTTTTATCGGATGTCGACCTTTTGCTTAAGATCAAATGTAGTATATGTTTTTAATTTAACATATTTATCCCGAATCTTAGGTTTTTTTTTTTGTTTAGATCAAGTATATTATATGTTTTTAGTTTGATATCTAATATATGTGTTTTCAACTTGCTTGGTATTTTATTTTGTATATGAGAATGCCCATTATACTACTTGGTGATGTAGTTATTTATCTGTCCTCTTGGTGTTACTACTATCAAGGTTTGATACACTCATCTAATTACAATTTAAATATTATAGAATGTTACGTTAAAGTGTAGTATTTGTTTTTATCAGTTTAATATCTTATATGTGGGTCATCGACCCCACTTGATATTAATTTTATTTTTTTATGAAGAAAAATCCATTACCTTAGCTTGGTGATGTGGTTTTTCATGCATCGTCTTGAACTTCCACTACTGTTGCTACAACTTACGCAGTCCTCTAAATTTCATTTGAAATATTATAGAACGTTTATTTTTCATAACTTCAAATGAGATTTCAATTATATTTGTTACAAAATGAACATCATGATTTTGTCACCTTATATGAGATTTTATGTTAGAATTGTGACTTCTAATTAAACAAATTACTAACATTAGCCAAAAATTTRTAGAGTACTTTGTAACACTATTCTCGAGCATAGTTAGATAACTTAAATTAACATATGGTTCTAAGATTGTTGTCAACTTCTCTTRAAAACTTTTAATGTTAATAAGTAGTTGCCACACACATTTGCCTAATTTTTTTTTAAATGGACTTCAAATTGTAGTATATWACATTTCTTTTGAAGATGGTATTATCACTACCGCGCAACRTGCGGTTGGAACACTARWGACTTATAAAACCTACATTTTTTGCTTATAATTAAATATAAAACTGATAGTTATTTATAAGAACCTCTCATTAAGGGTGCTTTAAATAGAGGAGTAATAAATTTATTTATCTCATAATTAMATATAGAACTGAAAAGTAGACACTTACTTTCAAAAGTAAAAACTTGTTTTAAAAATAAATAAATATAAATTTATACATTTTTTTAACATAAAAATAGAATAAATTATAATTTTGGTCCATGTGGTTTCACTCATTATCACTTATCATTCATATTTTGAACTAATTACACTCTTGACTATTGTGGTTGCCATTTTATATTGGATTTGGTCCATTTGGTTGCCATTTTATTTCGTATTTGGTTCATCTTSTTAACTCTATTAGAAGTCTCAGTTAAATTAAAGGATATTTTGGTTTTTTTATTTTATTTAATCTTTCGTCATTATTTAGCAATTTTTTTTAACACCTCATTCCA